GATCTGAGTTAGGTGCCACTTGACTTTGCTCTCATCTGTACTTAAGGTTTTATAGCTGTCAAGATGAAGCACGGTGGCTCTGTACCCAGTGTTAAACAGAGGTGTTATATTCTAGCCTTCTAATTACTTCAAAAATGTAATTCCTGTTCTATTGAAATACTGTAGTGTTTTATGAATTTCACTGATGAAGACTTTAATACGAAACTTTTTTGTGCTTCTTAATTTATGGTGGGGCACTCTTGAATGAGTAGAGCACTGAAATGGTTATTATGACAAGTGCCAATTTAAGTGAAACAGTTAAACCTTTTAGATAATAAGTTTGTATAAATTCCCTTAAAATCTTCAGTACTGTTTGCTAAGCTTAGTCATTACAAGACTTTGCCAGCAGTACATGTTATGTCTGTAGCATATAATTTTTGAAAGCACGGTAAATGAGATGGCCTTCCAAGCATTATAAACTAAGATAGGGAATTGGAACCTAACCCTGCTGCACTTCATGACAAGGCTCCACTCGGCTTCAACACGTATTTGAGCAGGCACTTGTAAGGTACTTTCCACTCCCTTTAAATATGTAACAGATTAGACTTCCTTGAAATTAATGTGCTGTTTTAATAAACAGTTGTTTTAGTAATTAAATGGCAAAAGTTCTGGTTAAAATATTTGACAATTGGAGTTTAAATGATTTGTTATTAGAGTTTTGTAGCATCTATTAGCAGTGTGTTTTACTCCTGAGAAATTAAGTTTGTAAATGAACAGTTTGTTTTTCTAATTATGTATTTTATGTATAATATATGTATTATATATATTACATATTTCTAATCAGATATTGCAGAATGATTGAGCATCAGATCAGGTAAAGGTTTGCACACATTTATTTCAATTGAAGTAGGGCAGAGACAGTGAGAAAAAAATAATATCAATCCTAGATGCATGCAGATTCTTAGGACTGGGTACTTTATCACATACTTAAGAAGCTTTCACAGTAATTTTTTTTTTTCTTTGTTGCACTTTTTACATGAACTTAACATCTGCCTCAGCATGAACAGAAGAATGACCCCAGCCGAGTGAAACTGCCAGGAAAAGCACCCACCTTGGAAAAAAGATTAGTAAAAATGGGAGCGGTAACATTACTTGGATTTGTTTTTTTCTTCTTTATAACTAAGTTAGTGGTAAAGAAAACCTGACTTTAATTTTAGTGCTATGAATACTTTTGGAAAACTTAGTCACATTATGCTTCTGTTCAGTATATGCAGCTGAGCTGAAGTCATGTGAAAATTTGTGTAGTTTCTCATCATATCTGTAGTATTTGCATCCAGTAAGTACTTTGATCTAGAAATAAAGTTATTAAAAATTAAAACTGTTACTTAAATATATCTTAGGGTTTTATTTTCAAAATTATTTTTGAATAGACTGTAGGTCTAAGATCTTTTCTTTTTTGGCATAAAGCTGCAATTATTGCTTACTAATTACTAGTTTCATTTTACCTTTAGCTGTTGCTCAGAGGTGAACATAAGCAAATAATTCTGTCACATGTTTGTATTTAAAATTATGATGCAGATGTGTTTTGGGGGTTGGGAGGGTTTAAAATATTTTAAGTATCTCATGCAATTTTATGTTGGTAAAGATCTTTTCTCTTAAAGTTTTTCATATGAATCTATCGTATGAAAAACTTCCCAGTGAGGTGTACTTTTTATTCTCTGTCACAATCACAGGACTGTGGCAATCTTGTTACAGATTGCCTGAAAAGTCATTTCCCACCGAACTATGATAGTCAAATTATGCCTGAAATCTGTTTCCTCAGGGATACTTCTATTAAGAGTTTCGTCACATCTATTAAAAGGATTATAGCAGTCCTTTGCTATAAGAATGCAAGCAACTTAAAAGGCATAGCAGCGTGGTTTTTCTTGGTCTGGTCTTTCATTACAACAGCTTCATGCTTAGAGTAATTTTTTCTTAATATTTTGTCCACTTAAAAAGGTGTTTGTAATTCTGCAGTGAAACATTAATACCTGTTTTTCATCTGGTTACCAAACCAGCTATGTTGAAAAAAAGGGAATTGGTATAAGTTAATTCAAATCAGTTATGTTTCTGCAAACTTCAATAAACATCTGTAAAAATGCTGAATATTTCTGAAGGGACCTTCTTCTATCAAGGTAGATATCAAGGTCTAAAATAACGTAAGCCTCAATGGATGTGTCATGCTTTAGTTCTCCTCTGTTTTCAGAGATGTTGTGTGGAGTCTTAATCTTTGGTGTTCCCTCCAGAGACTAGTAATGAGAAGATAAAAACCTGAGCGCTACTCCAATTGCTGTCACGGTTGTTCTCTGCTTTTTGTTTTGGAAAACTACCTTGGGTGTTAGTATGTTCCCTTGTTCCTGCAATTGTTTTACCTCCTTTCCTCCCAGGTTTCTCCTGCAATGCAAGGAACATCCTACAGAGTGATGAGGCCAGAGGCAAACACAACATAAGTTGGCTTTTTTTCCATTCTGTTCCCAACTTTGGGGTCAGAGGGGATAAGCTGTATTCCCCACCACCACCACCTACCAGCAGAAGTGGAGAAGTGCACATACTATCAGCATACTGACTTGCACCAGCAAAGTATAGAAAAGGAAGTATTTAAAAAAGTTACCTGTTTCTTGATATGACTTTATAATTAATCCTGAACTAACAAGATGCATATCACAAAAGGAAGAATCCATGGAAATGGAAAAACCTGTGGAAATACAAAAATCTGTAAAGTGCAGTTTTAACTGCTTGTCATACACATGGAACCTTATATGTACACAACACTCCTTCTCTAATTAGCTCAAAATACAATTCAAATGCAGTTCCCAGTGATGGGATGGCTCATAAGTATTACTAGAACTTTGACATGTAACATCTTTTGGGTTTTTCTGTTGGGTGAGGGGCTTTTTCCTTTTTTTGTTCTTTATTTTTTTCTCTTTTTTGGGGGGAGTGGGAAGGTGGGCAGGCATTTTGTTCATACTATGTTTCCAACATGTACTTTCACTGTAGTTAAGTGGAATTATTTCAACCGCTAGTAAGATTTCTGTGATACTGCCCTTGAAAAGGTTCTGTTACTTAGCCTCACTATTCCTTACTTCTCCACCTCAGTGGGAATTTGCATAACAAAGCCACCTCAAAGGACACTGAAAGTAGCTTCCATTTCAAGAGATGCATTTCCTACCACTAGTAGATCTTGTCATTTGAAACAGTAACTAAAAATTTAAATTATCTTTTTCCACGAATTTGAAGAAAAGATCCACTTGTATGGAGGCCTTTTAAGCTAACCTTGAAGGTCTTGCAGTTGAATAGGAAATCTGCTCCAGAAAATAGTTTTATCAGTATTTAACTAAATTATAGGTATAACAATGTGAATGATGCCATCAGTGTAAAATACCCATGAGGGAAAAAATAATGCATGATACTTGCTGATAAGTGTTTTCTAGTTTGAGAGTTACAATAAAACATTCTTTGCAGAAATGAGTCAAAATTCTGAACACTTGGAGCTGACCTCCAAAACACGTTTGGGAGAAGCTGATCCTGCTAAGTTATCTCATGGATCACTTATTTCAGGTGCTTATAATCACGATTGCAAACACACGTGAACAGCATTTGGGTTAAACATAGCCTTTCTGCCAGCAGCATCCTTAGCAGGGTGCACTGTTGAAGAATACTGTTCAAAATGGCATAAACCACACAGGAGAAGCAAGGGTCTTGGAATAACCATTCTGAACCATCCCGTTAATTGATTGGTCACGAACTATGTTGCGTGAGTTAAGAGCCAAATAAACAAAAGATTATTTTAACCTACTGTATCATAAAAAAATGTCTATTTTCAGATTCCAAACGTGGGCTTAAACGATGAATTTCAAGGTCCTTTATTCACTTTCATGTTGTTCCAGCGCCTCTTTCAAATTCTTGGTTTGAGAAGGTATCACAATCTGGTTGTGATAGGGCAGGAAGCAAAGAAAGAGATTCCTTCAACATCTGTCCCCTGAGCTACGCTGTCAAAATTCTCACCCCCACCAGCACCCGGTAAGGGAGCCTTCAGATGAAAATGTCCCTGCTGAGAGGCCTCCTTCTGTAAGTCATCAAATTAAAGTCATTATCCCAGAACAGTAAGAATACAATGATTTGCACATCTATGAGGAGATTGGAGGAGAACGCTAAAGAGCTTTGCATGCATTGAGCAGGTAAGCTGCACAGCCCCGTGAGGTATTGTTCTCCTCTTACTGTAGTGCAAATTGAGGTGCGGGAGGATTGAGTGGATTGGACCTGGGGCCAATCCAACTGTGTATCCTGCAGATACATAGTTGCTTAAAGATGCAGCGAGGTTCCTACTTGCAATACCATTGGATACCTAACTTCTCTTCATACGGATGAATATTCATGCAATGGCCTTTTCTGAATCTTTAGACTGTTATGTAAAATTAGGGCCTTGGGTGATCCCGTGGAGATCTGAAAGAGCCTAAAGAATCTTTATTTCTAATTTGTCCTGCCCAAAATAAACTGTAGATTGTGTGTGTTGTGTCTCCTCCTGGGCTTTGGGATTTGCCCCGCTCTTTAAATTTGACTTGTGGAGTACCTGGTCTGTCATAAGGCATTGCCCAGTTATTCTTGTTGGGTACCAGTTGCAAATAGCAGACAGTAATTTTGGGTATGTGCATTCTTAAATTGAGAAAGAGTGAGCTTTTTTATTACCTTGTCCACTGACTTAGAGAAGTGCTGTGTTTGGTTTTTCTTCGTCATCCAACTGCCTTGTTGGGGGCAAGACTTAAGCTTGAGCTGTGCAGTTTATTCTTTTTCCTCTTGCCATCTTTGAACCCCTTCAGGTGTTCCCCAAAGCTGTAACTTGCTCATGTGTGTAAGTAGGCGTTTGCTTGCATTTGCCTTCTCTGTTCCAGCAGTTCTGCAAAAGTTACAGGTCGTCTTTCCCAAACAAAGCTGCTGTGTTACTAGTCAAGTACTACAAATGTTGCTTTGGGCCCTATGTGATGGAAGATTTTGAGTCTTCAGCCTTGCTAAACAAGTCTCTTTCGGAATAAGTTGAATAAATTCATCTTACCCTGCATCACGAAAGGGCGACTAAGTGATCCATAGCTTGTCCATGTTAGTTGTCTGCTTCCTTGCGGTCCATTTTGGTATTCATACGGGAGATAAACTTTTTTGCACAGATAAAAAGCTTGAAGGTCTAGCAGGTATCGTAACTGCAGGTTTCTGCTTTTAAAGACTTTTACTGTCATTTCTTTGTTCTGGAGGCATGGGGGAAATGTATATTTGGAAATCTCCCTATTCTAGAAATAGGAATTTCCAGGTAATGGGGCTCTGTATTTTACAGACCAGAAATGATAAGCGGTGAGGTATGAAATGAGCTATTACTGGTATTAAATGAATAATGTGATGTGTATCCTTAACAGCTTTAATAGCTGTTAACTTACTTTTAGTTTTTATCCTGATTCAAGTGGCGTAGTTTCGTGTAATGAAGAGCCATAGTCCCTGGAAGTGGGATCCCTGTGGGAAGGATTTTCTGTTCTTTCTCTTTTAAGCTGTGCTACTGACTGTGATACATACGGGAAGATGCCTTCTACTTAAGGGTTTGGTGGGGTTTTTTTCTTAATAATTGTTCTTCTCAGATGAGCCTTCCATGCCTTCAGCTTTTCTGAAAACAGTCTTTATTTGAATGTAGAAATACAGGTTTAACTACATTATTTTCACTATTGTATTGAAAAACCTCAGCTCAATTTCATAAGATATGTATTCAAAGAACTGGGCTTTCAGTGTTCCTGGCTGCTCCGCTGTTATCTGTATTGCACATGGCATGATTTCTTGACTGGATGAGAAACTGTGTGCATCATACTCGTCGGAGGCACATACAGCTTTGTAAGTCCAGCCTGCTCCTGCGGCACGGAGGGCCGAAGGCCTCTCCAGGGCTGCATCAGGAGCAGCACTGCATCACCTGCAGGTCAAGGGTGTGATCCTTCTCCTCTCCTCAGCACTGGGGAGGCTACAGCTGGAATGCTGGGTCCAGCTCTGGGCTCCCCAGTACGAGAGGGACGTGGACATACTGGAGTGAGTCCAGTGAAGAGCCATGAAGATGCTGAAGGGCTTGGAGCACATGAGCTACGTGGCATGGAGAGGCTGAGAGAGCAGGGATTGTTCAGCCTGGAGAAGAGAAGGCTCTGGGGCATCTTATCCGCATGTATAAATACGCCAGGATCTTCTCAGTGGTACCCAGGGGCAGGCCAAGAGGCTATGGGCACAAACTGAAATGCAGGAAATTCCATTTAAACATGAGGGGGAAAAAATTGATCTCGGGTCAGACACTGGAGCAGGTTGCCCAGAGTGGTTGTAGTGTTTCTGTCCTTGGAGGTACTCAAAACTGGACACATCCCTGAGCAACCTGCTGACTGACCCTGCTCTGAGCAGGGGGTTGGACTGGAAGAGGTCCCCCAGGGCCCCTTCCAACCTTGCCCAGTCTGTCATTCTGTATAACAAGAGAGAGTGGTTAACAGAGAGAAATGTATCCAAGGTGAATTTATGTAAGGCCAGCACAGAGTGCCGTGCTTGGAGAAGGAATCTGGACAGCAGTAAAGCTGGAATGCAAATGTGGTAAATGACTCTTCTGGAGAGGAAGGGGACAACATTCATGAGCCACTGGTGCGGTTGCCACAGGTAGAGGAGGTCCTGTTAATACAGATGGGTATCTCAGAAAAACCAAATGGGCAAACTTCTTACTGCACACCTGAGAAGGCTGGTGGCCTCTGCTCAGAGGGGTCTAAAATGCTGCTGGAATTTGCTGGTGTTTCTCTCTCCTGCTACTTGATCCAAGGTGTATCTCTTAAACTTCAGAAACTGAAGTTGGCCAGCAGCTGAAAATCGGAGTGTGTTTTTTCACACTGATAATACTTTATCAAATAGATATTGAATGCTCATCTGTTGCTTTTAAGACCTGCTGGAGTTAGTAACTGGAACTGTAGTTGCCTCTGGGCAAGTAGTACTGCTGGAGGAGCAGTAATGTGCTCCAAGCTTCAATAGCCCTTAACCCAAAGTCTCTGCAGCCGAAAGCTTTTCTGATACCAGGGGTGGGGGGGGTCGGGTGTGGGTTGGTTGGTTTTTGTGGGGGTGTTTGGGTTTTGGGGTTTTTTTAAGGTTAAATTGAGAAGTGGGTGAAACTGGTCCAGCTGGTCCTGGAAAAGTGCCAATGTGAAAGGACAGGACAGCTTTCCTTACTGCTTGGAGTTCGAGGGCAGCTGCTGACTTCTGTGGCACTAGCCTGACTGCGTTTGTTGTGGGTGAGATGTGGCTGATGAAGTTGACTTACTGGAACCGTTCAGCTGGTGTGCTTTGGTTGTGCTTTTGTGATGGTTAAAGAAGCTGTCGATAACAGCAGCGGGAAGAGTGAATGGGGAGTTGAAGAGCGGAAAGGTTCTTCAGTCTGGAGGTGGAGAAGTTCTCATTGCACTGGGAGGACAGGGAGAGAGGAGACCTCCACGGCGAAGAGGTGGCGTAAGGTGAGGGCGAGATGATGGGAGCGAATGCTGCACAGGTGAAGAAGAAAGAATGGATTAAGGACACGCAAGAAGGACAGGAGGGGAAAAGAGGGTATGCGATGGGGCGAGGCCTGCCGCGCCGCGGGCTGAGGCACAGCGGGGCACTTCACCCATACGTTTAGCAGCGAGAGAGCGTGTTTTCCCCACGCGTGGATACAAGGGCAGGGCATCGGGTCTGGGCGGGGGTCGGGGCCAATGGCGGG